AGCATCGATCCACCCAATTGGGATACAATACCAATGATATAAAAGCAATAAACATCAGCAAACGAATATCATTTTGAGTAATTGAAGTTGAAATTAGATTGAAATAAATTAGCACAATTGAAATTGAGGAATAAGACGAAAAGTAACTTATATGTAAGTTTTAAATGAACACTTCAATTAAAGGGTATTCAGGAATTGGAAAATGAAAAACTACTAAGTTTACTAACACTAGCAATGATCTGGGCATATTTAGGTTGTCAACGTTGACGACATAATCAAACAAAGAAGACGATTCCTTACAATGACAACTTATTTAACAAAACATAAAGATTTGGACAGTGGATTAAGTACCAGGTATATTATCCGCGTAAAATTGTTTCATTACAAACTATTTTAGAAAATCTACTAAGTCAAATTAAAAACTTCACATTTTTTTAAAGTAATCCTATACATGTTATACAACGGACAAATGTATCAGAGAAGGTAATTTTTAAGCATTAATGTCCAAAGAAGGATTTTAATCAACGGTGGTAACCATAATTTGTTCCAAGCACCTACGGTATTCCGTAATAACATCAAAAGTTTAAATCATAAGTCCCAAGCACGAAATTCTGATGGCACACAAGTTCAGTAGCGTGTATGGCCACCATGTGCGTTGACAACTGCCACACAACGCCTCCGCATGGATCTTGTGATGCTTGTGAACACATGATTGGGAAGACGACGCCATTGTTGCTGCAAAATGGTGCCAAGATGTTGCAAATTCTGTGGTTGGTTCTGGAGAGTGCGCAGACTTCTGCCAAGAGCATTCCAGACGTGTTCGACGGGATTGAGGTCGGGAGACCTTGACGGCCAGTCCACGACGTTGACTCCCGCATTCTGACAGAAATTCCTTGTCAAAATTGCTGTGTGGGGTCTGGCATTGTCGTGTTGGAAGATCAAACCGGGTTCATGTGGTGCCATAAAAGGCAGAAGTTCTGGTGCCAGTACCTGGTAGCGGTAAGCAGCAGCGTTGAGGTTGCCACGGATGACAAAGAAGCCTGGAACGTGCATTGCCACAGAAAGCACCCCACACCATGACACTTCCGCCTCGAAATCTGTCAACTTTCTGTACACAACACTGGGCGTAACGATCATGACAGCGCCTCCACACCCTCGCCCTACCATCAGCAAATCGAAGATTAAATCGGGATTCAGCACCGAAGACGACTTGATTCCAATTACTCTGAGTCCATCGTAAGTGTCGCTGTGCCCACAATTGACGTTGACGTCTGTGTAATTGAGTCAGAATCGGCCCGCAGTATGGCCGTCGTGCTTGAAGGTGAGCAGTTCTCAGACGGTTTCGAACTGTTTGCGCACTCAGTCTACCCCTAAACAGTTCATTTCTGGTTGATGTAGCCGTCAAAAATCGGTTACAAAGGTGACGTATGACAATCTGACGATCCTCTGCATGTGACGTCACACGTGGTCGACCTGGCCGAGGGCGATCAGCGGTGGTACCCGTTTCCTGTAGACGCGTCTGTAAATCATAAACAGTCCGTCGACTACAAGCCATCATCCTTGCGACTTCAGCTACGGACGTTCCCGTCTGCAACATGCCGATGGCACGTTCACGTTGCACATTTGAAAGGCGTGGCATGACAAATGGCCGTAAAGACTTTTGTTTTCTTGTGTTTTTCTTTTTTTTGTTAATGACTGCTAAGAAGTATGGCTGAAAACACGTGCGGTATTATGGCCACGTGACCAGTTGCTCGTGAAAAACCACTTTTGCCACTATAGTGCTGTACACATGATTTTGATCGATTCACCTGCACAAAAACGGGTGTTATCTGAAGACAATTCGTAGCCATTACTGTTTAAATACACAATAAAGGCCAAAATGATAACTTGTCAAAATGTAAAAATATTAGGATTGTGAAGTTTTTAATTTGGTTCAGTATACATTCTACTTTCCCATGTTATCGAAGGCGACCACATCACATGCAAGAAGGTAGGGACCAAACAATTTCGTGAGAGGTACAAATGCAGCAATGAGAAACCAGTTATCGATTTGATTCTATTCCAAAAGAGACATCACATATGCTAACGTTATGAAGCAACGTGTCTACGTCCTTACTAATCTACTATGTGATCAAGTCTACTAGGCTACACAGGAAAATACACATTACTCTCAGTGCAGGTGTTGGTGTCCATGTCGTAGTTGTGAGTGCCATCACATGCACATATGTTGGATGCATTACAAACTGCATCACTGGTTAAACACTGAGTTGTTTCAGCACAGGGAGATCCATAATGTAATTCTGAAATTGAGCACGTATACACAATACAATCTGAATAATGTTTTGCATCTGTCAAAACCTGTACAAAATATGTTTGATTGTCTCTGGAATGGAACAAACTATTATTATGGTAAACCTATTCTCGTTTTAATCTCACCAAAACTCGAAAAATCGACTTGTTTGAAGTGTAAACAAAGCAAAATTCAGAGTTTACACTGTGTAGCATTCTCTTCTATTTTGAGAGATCCGTTTGTCTAAGTGTTGCATATATTGGCTCACGTGTTTGAAAATATTCATGGGAAGCGTATCGTAGCGCGAATTGTGGAAAGAAAGAAATATACATGGTAAATTCAACAGAAATCGTTCTGTGTGGCGCCATCACGCTCAACGACGACGGTAGTTATTTGCATTTCCCGACGAAATAAAATTGGAAAAATAAAACAAATAACAGGACGCAGATTGTCAGATTGTTTCTGATCACACACATGACTCATTGAAATATATACGATCCCTCGATCAACGAAAATCCTCCTGTCTAGTGTACACGCGACTTTGTAAAAGTCGGTCTCCGGTAGTGATGTCATACGGAGGTAAACATTGTTGTTCATATTTGGTAATTTCTTTAAGGTGAAAATTATCAACTCGGCACCCAGCGGGCTTTTCGCTCTTATCTCGTTTGCATTATCATCGCCTGATGAACCACATATATCGCGGAAGCAGTTTTGTGTATGGTCACTCTATTTAATAGCAGTAAACGGTACGTCGGGTGACGTCAATAACGACCATTGTGTTATGTATTAATGCGCCACTGCGATCATGACATTAGACAAAATGCATCGATTCGATGCTAAAAAGGTGCGCAGTTAGGGTGGGTAAGAAACAGATTACAGCACTCGTGACTGTCAGATACAGCTTATCTTACAACTCGTTGTTTCAAAGCGTATCTAACTCGCTTTTGCGCGTCAAACACGTTAAGATAATTGGTATCTGACGGACACTTGTATAGTTATCTCCAAACATATGATGATTGTTTCACATGATTCCGACTGTATGATGAGCATGAAGTCCAACATGTGATGTATATTCCTCATGACTTAAAATAACATAATATGCACTCACAATAGCTTCAGCTGCAATTATTGTTCACGAACAATTAGTATAATGTAGGGGATCAATGCATATGAAAAAAGAACTGTCAATCGATCTAGACCAACAAATGAAATAAATAGAACAAGCTTAACCAGGAAGAAAACATGTTTCATTTTAGTCAAAACGAAACCATTGGTGGGTGACAAACAATTGAGTGAGTGCTGCTTCGGCTTTAAGTTATTAATATATTACAGTGTATCATCTAAATGTAGAATGAAAAAGACTTGAAATAGACTGCTTCATGAAGAACCTGGCAGAGGGTCAGACAATATTCACATTCTGAGAAATAAATTATAACAGTGTTACTGAATAATCAGAAACAATTAGATCACAACTTAAAACACAAAATTGAAATAAATAAGCATTATTAAAAGGGCATTCTTAATAAGCATTCAGAGGGTGAATATTATATGGGACACTACATTGAAATGCTATTCAGATACTGAATGCGGTTAGTCCCCAAGTGCGTGAGAAGGAGATCACATCAAAGTCGACCACATCGTGTGCATGAACGAAGATTCCACATAGCGACAGGTTCTGACAATTGGCTACTGCTCTACTATTCTACCGTCATCAAAGTCGACCACACTTAAAGAGGAAGATTCCATTCAAGGTTGATGTCAGATGATTAAGTAACAATTACTTTACGGGTATATGGGTCCTGTATGTCCAAGTGGAGAAATATTTGTTATCGTTGTAAATGTATAACGCCTCCACTTATTAGTATCACTCTTTGTGCAAGTGTTTGATTAACAGGATAAGAAAGACAAGCAATTAACAGGAACTATATTGCAGTTGTAATCCAATCTACTTATATGCTAAACACTGTACAAGTATTAAACACATGTTCCACTAAATGCAGGTCTAATTGTAAGTGTCAGACTCTCATATAAAGAAGCCGGAAAAAGTGTCAGTTGACAAAATGTTATCGAAATGAAAAGAATACTAATACTAATGGTATAAAAGCAATAACAATCAGCAAACGAATATCATTTTGAGTAATTGAGATTCATATTGAATTGAAATAAATAAGCACAATTGAACTCTTTGGAATAAGATAAATAGTAACTTATATGTAAGTTTTAAATGGACACTTCAATTAAAGGGTATTCAGGGATTGGAAAATGAAAATCTACAAAGTTTACTCACTCGGGCAATGGCATGGACATATTAAGGTTGTCAACCTTGACGACATAATCAAACAAAGATCTAGAGGACGATTCCTTACCATGACAACTTATTTAACAAAAGATAAAGTGTTGGACGGTGGATTGAGTACCTGATATTACCCGCGTAGAATAACTAACTATCTCATTACTAACTATTTTGGAAATTAAATTCTACTTTCCAATGTTATCGAAGGTGACCACATCACATGCAAAAAGGTAGGAACCAAACCATTTCGTGAGAGGTACATGTACAAACGGAGCCATGAGAAACCAGTTATCGATTTGATTCTGTTTCAAAAGAGACATCACATATGCTAACGTTATGAAGAAGTGTTTTTACATCCTTACTAATCTACTGTGTAAGCAAGTCTATTTAGAGGCTACACAAGAAAATACACATTACTCTGAATGCAGGCGTTGGTGGCCATGTCGTAGTAGTGAGTGTCATCACATGCACATATGTTGGATGAAGTACACATTGCACCACTGGTTGAACACACACTGGTTGTTTCAGCACAGGTAGCTCCATATTCTAATTCTAAAATTGAGCACGTGTACACAATACAATCTGAATAAAGTTTTGGATCTGTCAAAATATGTGCAAAATATGTTTGATTGACTCTGGAATGGAACGAACCGTGGTTATGCTGAACCTATTCTTGTTTTAATCTCACTTAAACTCATAGAATTATTAGTAAATATGGTGCCTGGCATCATATCTGAAGCGAAATAGTCCTGGATGATGCATTAACATTATCCTCGTGTTATTACTCATAAGTTTCTGTATGAACAACATTTCAAATACAACATTCGGCCTGTACACTATGTGTACGGTTACGCTAGGGTTATTCACTAGTGCCTTATTGTGTTACCGTTTCAAGTAACACTAGTGATAGTTTACAACGTACATCTGCCTTGTAACATTTGTCAGAATGATTGCATATGCATGTACGTTGCTGATTTCTGCTCATGAATGTATACACCATGGAAGCACATTAATGCGAATAATTAACAGAACAGTCATAAACACCTTAAGTCAGATTTAAAGCTTTGCAGATTCACTGTGGACACAAGCCCACGCCATGGTTTCATCAGCTGATGAAGATATGGGATGTTCAGATAAAGCTCAACAGCAGGTGTGCAAATATTCATTAACTACTACACCAGTTTATTAAGAATATAATAAATATTTGCACACCTGCTGTATATATGTATACGTAACTGACACAGAGAGTGTGAGAATAATTACAAATCGAGCAGTCTCTTAAGGGAAGATGAAGAATATTTTTTACACCCATATCTGACTGTTAAATATTTAAATTCAAATAGAGGTAACTTTTGCTGCCTTACAGTGTTAGTAGAAAATAACGCAGACTAGTTTTATAAGATTAATACTCACGAGGTGGCGTTAGTGTTGTTGTACTAGCGGCATTGCTCATCTGAAAGTGAAGGGAAAATACCACATTATTCTAGGAGTCTGACAAAGACGTGGTATGAACGTGTGCATTTGTAGTGTTGGAACCTCACTATAGTATGTTGCGTATGCCTGCACCTTGATAAATTTGGAAAGTGTTGTCTTTAGTCATCAATCAAAATACAATACAACCAAAGAAATAATGACCAACAATGAAATCTTAAGTTAATAGTCATTATTATATTACTGAGATATATTAAACAATGGACATGAATATTATATTAAACTGGACAAAACATATCTTCAAAGATTTCATAAGCTACTCTAATAAAAAAACTGTAACACCATACGGGATTTACAGCAAGATCTTTTATTTGAAATTTTGACTTCCTTTATCGATGTTCATATTCTTTTATCTGATTCTCATACGCAGAAGAAAGCATAAAGGTAAAAGTGACCACCTTAAAGCTTTATGAGGATGTACTAAACTAACTGTGATGTCTTTAACTGGTACAGTATTGTCTCAAATATGACTTCATTGGTTTTGAATGAAAAAAATTAAACGTGAGTAGTTGGCACATTTTAGTATTCCTAAGCGTCGCAATTCGCCGTGTAGAGCTGCGCCCCCAAGGCGTGCCAGAAACCTTTCACCATGGTTCGAATCCCAGATCCAACCTGATTAAATCATGTATTTAACGTTCCACTTCAGGCGTTCCACTCATATATCACAATATATAACAGGTATACTGTTCAACGAAATTCATTCCCTTACTAACAAAAGGCTTCATTGAATATTTTGGAGAGTCTAAAATATTGTTTAGTAGAAGCAGCTTTCACGGAAATAATTCTTGTCTAAAGCCAAATGTACAAATTGTGCGAGATGTTGTCAAAAATATTTGTAAGAATAATGTTTCTCACAAAGTAGGACACCGGCACCATTCGAAATATGTTACACAACTGAACCTGAAATTATCCAGGGTATGTCTGTGGTACTGCCAAAAACATCAACATTTATATCATTGATTTTTGGTATAACTTTGTGTAGTATTACTGTTGTATTTAGAATTGAATAAAAACATAATATTTCGATTTCGTAATTTAAGAGATGGTTATGAAGAAACAGCAAACAAAATGTATTGCTGTTGGAGGAATTGGGTCACAATCCTGGCACGATGAGCACGTGCATTGCCATCTTTAAAGATGAAACCTTGCCCAACACGTTGTGCTAATGGCACCACTAGTGGTGTAATGATGTTGTCCCGACGGTATTGATCTGTGACTCCGCCATGAACGATTTGGAGCGCATTTCGGCCAGTCATTGTGATACCTCACCACACCATTATGGACCCACCCCCAAAACTATCATGTTTTACGACGTTAATGTCCATAAAACGCTTATTAGGACGTCTCCGAACTCGATTCCTTCGATCATAGAAGGCGAGAGAGAACCTCAATTCGTCAGAAAAACATGACATTTGCCCAACGTCGTTTATCCAAGTGCTGACGTTCCCTGCTTCACTGACGCCTCTGATGCAAATGACGTGCAGTGAGTTGTTGGATGATCATGACACCGTCTGGCCATGGGCATGTACTCTTACACCAGTTGCCCGTTGCAACCAGCCCCTTATATGGGTTGCAATTTGCACTCCGATTAATATGCCACTCTATCGCCCAGAGCGATGTCGATCAGCGACGTTATGCGACAAACTTTTTCCATAGTCATAAGAAATCTCTGCCGCTTGTATTAATCACTTATCTGCCTTACACCATGTAACGCACATAATTTGAAGGAAATGTCTATTTGACGCCACTAGAGCATGACACCAAGAAACCATGTCTGCATGATCATACAAGTACGAATCAATGCGGTCGCATCGGGCTGTACATATCTTTCCATTGCACATTTTGTTGGTGACGTCGTACTAAAAGTGTATGCGCTCCATAAGGTAAGTTTGATGTCTGCATTTTCGTAAAAGTGAACCTGAGAGGAATGTTCATTACACTTCCATTGTATATAACAAAAATTAGTGATGCTTTATTTCAAGTATTTGCTTCATACTCAGCACATTATTTATATACTACCGTGACATTTTAGAATCCCGAATTCGTATTGTACCTAACTACATGTAGTTAGAAAAAAAGATTGCTGATGATTGTCACAACGGCAGTATTTCAGTTTACTTGATGGTCCTTGACTATTTGATGTGACAGTATATTCTGGAATGAAAACTCTTCAAACTACGGTTAAAAGAGAGAATTGTTAACTTAAGAAAATATCAAAACAATGCAACTTGAAACAGGTGAAAGAAGGTGTTTGTGAAACGGATGAGCAAACTGATGCCGAATTCAAGTAGGACATGTCAATACTGCATCGAGTATTAAGATTAATTCATATTGTCGTGCATATCAATCATTTATGTTTCGCGAAAATGAATGTCTCTCGGGAGTAGATTACGAGTCCAGGTGAGAGTAGGCGCTGCAGAGTACATATACAATTGCAATGTTCTACTGACGCCCTCATTCTAATGACCAGTTGATGCCAAAAATAGTCCGCACGTGATGTTGTTACACGATGTGTACTACAACCGCATGTTTATAAAACAAGTGTATCGCCAACATGTGAGTAATAATTATAATTGTGTGTGACATACTGATTTCACGCGTACATAACAAGCCGTTGTGCACAAGAAATGACATCAACATAAAATTGTTGTTGGCAAGAAACAGATAACAATTGATATAAGCTACTTTTTTAAAGTTTTACTACCGACAACAAATCCGCGAACTGCTGATCTTAATGCAGCTAATGTGTAGGAGTAGATTTGCAACACCGTGACCACAGCTACTTTTGTCTTGGGATTATATGTATTCTTTATTTCGGTAAATGTAGGCCAACGGCCCATGTTTATAATTTGACTTTTACGCGATATACGGCTTTTCCATTGGACGAGAGGTCGTTCACATGGCTGCGAAATTGACGTTCATGAGTATACGAACGACACAATTTGACGTTCATACGCTTTTCACAAGACCGTGTTCTTGAAATGACGTAAACACTAACGGACTACTTTCACATTCCTGGGGAATCCCCTGAGGATTCCCAAGCACCAAAACATACAGAAGCGTTCTTTCTGATCATTTAGAACCTTTTATCTTGAACATCGTTTCAGTATATATTGAGAAACGTCAGAGAGTTTGACTGCATGATTGTTCACGAATATCCTCGCTACGGCCCATCCTAATGTACAAAACGAAGAAATGCACATCCAAACTATCGTAGTATCGACTCGATCCGTGTCTAGGCTGACAGTGACCGTCGACAGTAATCTATGAATTTATCTTAGTGTCCGTGTACATGTGACACATCTTTAATCACCCTTCAATGATCGGCAAGTTGATCAATGATGACTAAAACATGTAACCGCCACAGGTTCTTTAACAACTTCGGGAATCTCTCCCGTCACGTTTATCGTGTCGGTCATTTTGACGTCTTGTACTTGATGTAAATGTATTACGACGAGCATTGTGATTGACTTACTGAGGTAGTTCTTAACATTCCTTTCTGAGGAGATTATTTGAGTACATTTGTTCTAAAGAAACTACAAAAGTTGTCCCTGTTGAGCATGTTGAGCACACATAAGTTCATGTCACCTCTCGTTTTGAGGAACTATTTTATTCCGCGATACAGCTGGTTGTTGTATGGCTGTCAGTGTAAACATGAAGTCACACGTACTGAATATAATTGTGTTTTGATCAAGGACTACGTCCTTTGATGTAAAACTAGTGATATAAAAATTATAAGAATTGACTTTCACTTTGTGTGAGTTCATTGGAGTATGAACCGTCATAGAGTTAGGACCAAACATTGTATGAACCTCGTCGCAAGCTCAGACGTTCATACAGTTTGGCCCTCACTCTATGAAGGTTCATACTCCTATGAACTCACACAAAGTGAAAGTCATTTCTTAATTACATGACGTGTAGAATACATACAACTATGTAGAATGCATACAACATATTTATATAAAATAGTTGACAAGATAGAAGACATTATATCCTCAGAATTAGGAGTATCGCATGATAAAGGTACATAGCTAGACTGTGAATACACGTACCGCTTCTTGTGGCCATTAGAAGATGTAATTCACATCAGGATAAAGGCTGTAAATTTAATATATTTTGTACGTAGATGTTTGTACGCAGAGCAAACAAATAGGAAGTGATATTCATCCTCAATATATCCATAATTGCAACATTTATATAATCGACCACTTTGCAGTATATTAACATATCTACCAGTTTCAATATGCAGTTGAGACCGCCTCCGTGGTCTAGTGGTAGAGCGTCCTCCCGGAGAGCGGAAGGTTCGGGGTTCGATCCCCGATCTCGTCATACCAAAAGACGTTAAAAGATGGTTCTTGTTGTTACCCTGTCTGACGCTCGGCATTAAGGGGCTAAAACAAGGAGTGGTCGGCTCGGAGTCAGTATACTGTGTCTGGGTGAGGTATTCAAGTTAAACTGCGGCATGGTATCTCAGTGAGCTAGCACTATAAATCGGCATCAGTCCGGACTAGTACAAGCAGCGACACACACACACACACACACACACACACACACACACACGTGCACGCACGTCGCTATATAAGTGCAATAATCTTAGACACGACGTTAAACCCAATTTCACCTCACCTCAGTATGCAGTTGATGTGAAAAACATCGAAATTGTGCTTGGGAAACTTTGAATTTCTTGGTAGATTAGCCATTGAGGTACAGCTCTGTTGCAAAAGTAACTTTAAACAATAAATATGGTGATGTTTAAGTACCGTTTTGGAACATGCTATGCCAATCCTATTCATAGGTATATTTTAGGCGTGACATGAATTCAGATATGAAAGATTTTAGATGGGGAATATACTTCGGTTCCCAAATATATTCGTAACCAAAGCTGAATAGGATATATTTACATTTCGAAACCCAGTTGTGTTTGCCATTATTAGTTGCCTGTAACAACCTGTTGTAACACTT